GATGCCTTTTAAAAGTGCTTCTGCGGTTTTTTTGTTTGTTTGTTTGACTTCTTCCACATAGGTAAAATGCTTCCCTTTGAGGACTGTTTTCATCCAGGAAAACAAAACAAAACAAAAGTTGCTCAGGATGAGATCGGATGAATAGGGAAGGTGGAGCATGGGGGTCGTGTTGTTTTTTGGTCGGAACAGTCAGCCACTCAGCGCAGTGTGGGCAGGTGTGCTCATAAATCACCCGTTATGAAATGGGCGAACACACTGAGTATTCAAAAAAATATTCACTGAAGCCAAATGCAGCCTCTCACAACACTACCAGCTGGTACAGTGATACAGATGGGTTCCTAGAAGACACTTAGTGGGGGAAGCCTTTACTACAAGGGGCCTGGCCTCCAGAAAACAATTCCAGTCCCCCCCCCATATACTTGATCTGAGGTCAGCTCCTGCACCTTGTTGCTCTAGCCCCGTACGGTGATGGGAACCTCCTGTCCTCTGTTTGTCAAGTGAGGTTGGACTGTGTCCTGTTCCTAGGGCATGTGGAGGAGGTGGGGGGAGGCACTGAAGCAAAGATGTGTAAACACAGTCCCCAGTCTCATGAACCCCAGAACCAATAGCATTCTCTGTAGATGCCATGAAATCAGAGAAGCTCCAGGAAGCTGGCAATGGCATTCGTTCACGAATCCTGAATATGGTGTTATTCTTAGGCATGACACACAGAAGCAAAATGTCAACAGGACTGCAGAGAATCGCTGTGAACCATGTAACAAATACTACCCACAGGCAGCTGGGAGAAGGACGCTAGAAGAGTGCCATAGGCATGTTAAGGACCAAAGGACTCCTGAGGACTCAGGAGGACTCTCAGAAATCTTCCAGACTAGACGTTGCCTCTTCTGGCCAACAGCAAGGGAACTCTGTGAAAATCTCTTCCAGCCCAGTGGCACAGAGCGTCCCAGGCAGTCCTGACAGATAGCACTGTCACGCCTGCAAAGCCAGGGCAACGGCACGTCTCCAAGAATGTCCACATCTGCGTAAGCCCAGCATCACCAAGTGAGGAGAGAAGTGGCTTGAGTCACAGAGCCGCAGGCAAACAAATGCTGGACTTTAAGAGCAGAGATCAGAGGAAATGCACAGAGACTGGGAACACCTGCACCTAGATATTCGTCCTCATAACACAAACAGCAGATGACACAGACTCAGATGCCAACAGAGAAACAAGACCCGAACCAGGAACAAGCCCGTTTATTGGAGCCTGGGTGACGAGGGTGGGAAGTTCACTCCGGGGCCTCAGTCTCCTCTGGAAGGCGAACAGCACTGATTGCAGGGAGAACACATTGGCCTGGATAAGAAACCCCTAACCAGGTTGGGAGAAATACCTGAATTAAACTAGGGGAAATGCGGGAGAGTTTGCAAGTTGAGAGGACCTGTATTTGGAGAGACAGCCAAAGCAGGAAGAAGCCGCCAGCAGAACCACAGACTGCTCTGCATTCTTTCCACCACAAGAGAGAGAAGGCAGCCAAGAATACAGTTGGAGTTTGACCAAGCAGAGTGGAAGTTCTGGTAGAGACTCCAGGTTGCCATGACAATGGGAACCCTACTGCCCCCTTACAACAATGCATTATAAGGAGAAAAGCCACATGCAAATGAAGTTAAGAGTAATCAAGGGCAGAGCACCACAAGGTCACATGAGGCGTTAGGAAGAGTCTGCGCAGCAGACACAGGATGCAGACGCCGAAAAGCATTCCAATCGCTTGTAAACCGGTTAAACTGAGTCCGCATGCTTGAGAGAGCTTCCATGCACAGTGTAAGCCTGAAGGTTCCCCCTACTGGCTTGGACGTACCCGACCCTAACAAATCTCCCATATTTGCTGCCACCAGTGAACAGAAGAGGTGTCAGGCTGGGAACTGGGGGCTTCCCTTTTCCACGGGGCCTCTGTGAGGAAATACAGCCATCTAGATGAACTGGGCCTGCCAGAATGGGCGGTGGAAAGCGAGGTCAACACGCCTACTTTTGTATTTTATGCGGTGGTGGTGGTGATAATGCAGTGAGCGATTTCTCTGTACATAGAAACAAATACATGTACACGTGTGTTTATAACACTAAGCTGACTAGTTGTTCATTTTTCATTCCATGGTGTGCAACCAGTTCTAATAGATATGCAATATTTTGCCATTATAAAGTTCTGAGTTAAAATGAAAAGAAGACAAATTCTCAGGTAGCGTTGACATGAACAGCCAGAATCTGTAATTTTCAGCTGAGATCCTAGGTGCCCCCACCACCCACTTCCAACGGGGGGTAAAGCACTTCGAAAAACCTCGTAGGCAGAGCAGACTGTCCTGTCAGAGCCATTTGCCATCCCTCCCTGACCCTCTGTCCTGTCCAAGCAGAATGGCTGAATCAGGGTAAATGCAAAGCTGGTATGATGAGGCTTCTCCGTGGATGGCCAGCCCTGTGCCCCACGCCGTGGGGAGTCCAGTGGGCTGGGCCTGCTCCCCCAGGGACAGATGCCCCTAACTCCAGAATGCGCGTCCAACTCCTGTAAGAGGCCACTGCCGAGGTCCCACCGCACACCCAGTTCCCTGCTGGGTGTGAGCCAGACTTGTTCCACTGGCTGACCACCGGGTGCCCTGTCCACCCAACTTCTTCCAAATCGAGGCGGAGTCATCCACCTCCCTATGACTATCGCCTCTGCCTGTGGGCTCCCAGTTCCATGCCTGGACCCTAGAGCCAACGCTTTGGAAGGTGATGTCATGTCACAGTGGACATGAGGTCATTCTGCTCACGAACAGGTGGCTACTTATTGGTAACCAGCCCACAACTCAACTAGCTCTTTCAGCCCCAGAAGTAGCAGGAGGCATTGAATAAAATGAAGTTTGATGGTCAGTGGGCTGGCTGGGAGCCCACGCACTGAGAGGTGTCAGAGGATCTGCTCCTTGACCTCTTCTCCTCCCTGCTTCCTTGGTGGCACAAGCTTAGAGAGAGCAGGGTCCCTGTCCCTTTGTGTAACCTCCATATATATATGTTGGACAGATAACTAGGGAGAGATGGGAATTTGAAGAGAGTACCACAAGAGCAGGATACTCTTTTTCTCCCTGTTTCCCTAATACCTAGCACAGTGCTTGAGGTATAGTAGATGCTCACTTAAACTATGTTGACTGACTGAACAAAGGAATACAAGTGATGTGTGGCTCTTCAGCTGTGCTCTGCCTGTGCCAGTGCCATCTGGGCCTTGGCTCTGGAGGACCAACAGATCACATCTACATCTTTAGAAGTAACACTTCTCCTTTCAGGCTTCCGATGCATTTATCACATCACTTAGGTGAGTCTACACATATAACTGAAACACATTACTCCCAAACCCCTGCAAATGACACCTGCCACTGCAGGTCAGTGCTGTGGCCACCAGAGGCACCTGGCTAAGCTGAGTGACAGGGCCTCAGGACATCCTTCCCATTTCCAGTGAGGACGGACTGCACTCCTCAATCCTGCCTCCCTGCCCCCCACCAGCTGTCTCACCACAACAGGTGAGAATCCCAGAGGGTCCTCAAGGTTCTCCTAGGTCATACATGAGCCCTGGGCTTGCTGCTCCTTGGGACTTCTTCACGGCCCTCTAGAGCACTAGCCTAACGGCCTGTGGCTCTTTCCTGCAAGCTCCATCCTGCCTGCCTCAGTCCGGGTGGCAATGAATCCAGGCCAGGAATGGACATTTACGAAGCACCTACTGGTAACAGGCTTCACGCAAATCCTGGGTCCTCGGGCACTGCAACCTGGTTGAGTGTTCGCTAAGATATAACACGGCCTTTCCCTCCAGTACAGATTATGTCCAGAGCTCCTTCTACAGGGGCCTCTTTATAAGCCACGCTGTGCACCACCCAAAATGTTTTATGCAGATGGCATTAGGTTAAAAGGACACAGAGGACACCTTAGGGGAAAGACCAGTGGTGGGACTGCAGGTAAGAGAAATGATCATTCTGAAGGTATCTGCCTTGGGTGGGCTGGCCAGATGCATAGGAGGGTAGAGACCTCGGTAAGCACCTACTTCCAAAAGCAGCCCAATGGCTTTGCCCACCTAGGCTCCTTATACACCCAGTCACACCCACTCCCGACTGTATCTTACTACAGAACTGAGACCTGTGCCACGCTCTTCATAACTTGCTAAAACCAGACTCTGGGAGGCAGAAGGGATTTCAGCAGTCACCTGCCTACCTTCTGTCCCCATGCAAGAACCCCCCAACGTCCCCGACTGGCAGTCAGGCAGTTTTGTCTTGGGTGCCAACTGAGAATCTTGCAAACATGTCTGATCATATGACTCACGAGGGGCCCTTGTGAAAAGCTCGCCAACTCTTCAAAGTGACACAAGAGCAAACCCTGCATAGAAATGGCCTGGGAATCTGAATTTCCACTGGCTTCCCTAGTGAGTCTTACAATTAAACATCTTTCTTATGTGACTATAATGCAGTAGTTCTTGACAGAGGCTGAATATTAGAACCAGCTAGGAAGCTTTAGGGGAAAAAATCAATGCCAGGCCTTTACCCCTAGCTATTCCTACTTAATTTGTCTGGAGTGGAGCCCAGGAGGTGTAAATTTTTAAAGCTCCCAGGTGAATCTAATGCGCAGCCAGGGTTGAGAACTACCGTAATATCTCCCCAGACCACTGGTAAGCTCTTGGAAGACAGTAACCAAGAAATATGCACCTCCTGGTACCGCTCACTGAATCCCACTACCACGTCAAACCTGTCACAGAACATACTCTGTAACTGCTGGGCTGGCCTGATTTTAACTAGCTGTTCACCCATCCAACATGGGGTATCATTTCCTGTATTAAGAAGCTGTGTACTTCATTTAGCAAGAGGCCAGACAACGGAGGCTAAGATTTCCCACGGCTGAGTACACGCATGCACACACTCGCACATCCCCAGCCCTCCCTTTCCCCACGCTAACCAGCCCAGACGATGCCAGAAGCCACATGGCCGCCCTCCCACTCCCGCTCCTCGCCAGCTCTACTCACATTGTACAGCACGGTGGTCCACCCTTCCATGGTGATGCACTGGAAGACAGTCAGCACAGCGAAAAGGATGTTATCGAACTGGGTGATCCCGTCGTTGGGGCCGATCCAGTCCCTGCACTCGTAACCAGCAGGACAGCCCTGCACGCCACACGGGTGAGGGGGGTCGAATCCTTCCAGAATACCTGCACGCACATGCGGAGGGTGGGGGGTAAACCACATGGTGCTCAGCACGGGCTGGAAATGACCCCGGGAAGCCACAAGCCTGCAATTCTATTTCCCGCAGAAGGATGCGTCCTGCGCCGTCTCGGGCTCCCTCCCATCTCTGGCCGCTCTACACCTCCCACCTCGCACACCATGTGTTCAGCCCCGTGTTTCCCAACCTCCCCTGGAAACAGAGCCGCTCCTCCACACGGCCCCGACTTTCCAGGGGCCGTGGGCCCTACCCTCACCTGCGCACCAGAAATTCAGGGAACTGAATCATACAGAAAGGTGTGAGGTGAGGGCAGCATCCTACTGACGCTCTGAACCTCACACTGCAGCACAGACCCTGAGTTCTTTCTGGGTCTCCAGGTACAACCATGAACTACAATCCCTTTGCTGAGTCTTAACTCTGTTTTCTTCTGGTCTAAATTCACAGTCTTAAATAAGAGACAAAAGTGAAATATAAAAATCTAAGGGAAAAGGTGCCCTTTGATGGTCCTTTTCATAAGAAAAAAGGTGGTGCCCAGTTTGGCTTCTTCAACCTCTCCCCCCATCCCCTTTCCTCCCAGGACCCTCTACTCGACTTGCAAAGGACAGATGAGACTCGAAGCGGTGAGATTCTGGAGACTGCACCGCCCGGTCTCCCGAGCACCCTGCCAGGTGAGCTCAGCGCTGCCTCAGTTCCTCCACATGGGGTGGGGGTCACAGCAGGGAGGGAGCAAAATTGTGAGAGGGACCGTGGAGGAAAAAACGTCTCACGAATATGAAAGGACCATGTTGTGAAAGGACTTGGAGGTCTCACTGGCCTGGGGGCCAAAGGGGCCACAGTACAAGGGTCTTTCCTTGGACAGGTGGGTTCTGACAGGCATCTGCTAGCATTTCTACCGTGGGGTGGGGGAGCCGAGACCTCCTATTTGCAATGTACCAAATGCAAACCGAGGAGATTATCAGCTTTGCAGCATCAGAGTCCCGTGGGGGTTTAGTCTAGGCCGGTTGGGCCTCACAAGGCTGCTGACTCAGAAGTTTCCAGTTCTATTTCTAGGGCTGGGGTAGGACACACCTTGCCATCGCCATCTCTAAGGAGAGCCCGGAAATGGCCCCGCCCACCCGAGGGGACAGGCAGCGGAGGCTGGGAGCGAGCCAGCTCACCTGAATTGTTCGTGAAGCACGCGCGGTGCAGCTTCCCGCTGTAGAACTCCAAGCCGATGATGGCGAACATCAGGATGGCGAAGAAGAGCAGGAGGCCGATCTGCAGGAGCGGCACCATGGCCTTCATGATGGACTTCAGCACGATCTGCAGGCCTGCGAGGAAGCGGGGAGGACACACGGAGCCCCACTTAGCCCCGTCCCGCAGAGCGGGTGCCCCTTTCCCTCCCCCAGGAGGAGGAGGAGAACACCCGCTGGTCCTGAAATGATCCTGACAGTTCGCAGAGGGACAGCAGGACGAGGCGACCCAGGCTGCCACCCCTACCTCCCCCAGGGGTCAACCCCTTCCTGCTCCTCGCCCTGAGCTCTCCCAGGCCTGTTGCCCTTCCTTGTTTGTTTCACCCGTGTTGTCTTTCATCTGGTTCCTCTTAGAGGCTAAACTTGTTCAAACGCACCTGTTTCCTAAAGGGACTCGGTCCTAGCCCTGCCCAGTGGTAAGACCTGTGAGAGCAAGGACAAGTTCATCTTCCCCATCATCCTGTCTCAGGCCCGGCTCTCCCAGCCGCTGTTGTGATAGGATTTAGCACAACCACTATTCATAAAATACCGCATCCTCTGACCCAAAAGTTGTACTTCTAGGATTCTAGCCTAAGAAATAATCAGAGATGTGAATAAGACTGAAGTGAAAAGATGTTCGCCATGGCATTATTTTTAGTTGGGGGGAAAGAAACTAGAAATGACCTAAATACCCAGCAACACAGCAGTGGCTAAATAAGTCATGACCAATATGATGTACTATGCTACAGATTTTAAAATTGTATTTCTGAAGAATTTTAAAAAATATTTTATTTATTTTTAGATAGAGGGGGAGGGAAAGAGAAAGAGAGGGAGGGGAGCATAAGTGTGGGGTTGACTCTCAAGTGCCCCCTACTGGGGACCTGGCTCACAACCCAGGCATGTGCCCTGTCTGGGACTTGAACCTGCAAGCCTTTGGTTTACAGGCCAGCGCTCAATCCACTGAACTACACCAGCAAAGGCTATTTTTGAAGAATTTCTAATGTCAGGAAGACCGAATACTTATAGCAGGATCTAAAACTATATAGACAGTGTGATCACAATTATATTTTAAAATGCACAGGAAAGTATACTGAAATATTAAAAGTTATTTCTGATAGAATATTGTCTCATGTTTTGTATTTTCCAAAGTTTCTATAAAGAACTCTCATTATCTTTTAAATCTGAAAAAGAAAACCTCTGCTAAATTAAAAAATGAAAGGTTCTGTCAGGTTGCAGCAGCATCCACACTATTTATTACCACTGGGGCTCACTCCCAGGAGGGACTGTTTATCCCAAATTCTGTTTATCCCAAATTCTCTTAGACCTGGACCTGGCCGAGGACATATCATGGCGGCTATTACTAGAAGAGTAGGAAGAAGAAAGATGGTGCTCACTGGGTATCCCGGACACGAGCTTCAGGGGCCTCAGGACACGCACGGCCCGCAGGGTCCTCAGGTCGACGTGTGTGTTGAAGTGGGTTCCCGCCGTGGCCAGGATGCTGTAGATGGAGACACAGAGGGTCAAGGTTACCAGGGTCGGGCTTTCTCCCCCGACCCATGAGGAAGTTGGGCTGAAGAAGCATCTTCCTGGAACACAGGCGGAGCTGATGCCAGCTGCAGGTGGGCGCACCTGAGCTGGGGCGAGTCAGCTGTGGTTCCAAGTGGAATTCAATGTAGCCACACGGACTTCACTTTGCAAAGAAGAAAAATGTATCCTCATAGCAGAATCCTAGTTCCAAATCCTGAGTAAAACACCAGGTCTCCAGCATCTGCCTCATCCTGTTCCCTACACTCCACTCTGCTCCTTGCAAACCTCCTCCCCCTCTTTCCAACCCACCAAAGCCCTCACATTTAAAAAAAATATTTTATTTATTTATTTTTAGAGAAAGGAGAAGGGAGTGAGAAAGGGAGAGAAATGTTGATGGGAGAGAGAAATATTGATTGGTTGTCTCTTGCACACACTGTGATGGGGAACTGAACCCGTCACCCAGACATGTGCCCTGAGCGGGTATCGAACCAGTGACCTTTTTCTTTGCAGGACGACGCTCAACCAACTGAGCCACACTGGTCAGGGCAACTCCCCTCACATTTTTTATTTCAAAGTTTTCTTAGATTCCCATCTCCTATATCCTTTAGAGAATTTCTCTGGATTCCCTGCAATAAAGAAGGAACTCACTTTTCTCCACCTTGACACTTAGAATTTTAACCAGACAAATCAATAACATGCTTATAATTAAGGAATAACCTTACTGGTCCCCATACAGTATTTTTACAATCGTCCAGAATCACTGTGCCCTGGATTTGGTTTCTTTGCTTCCATTTTCCCACCGTCCACAGCCATCTCCAGAAACACACACACCATACACACACAAAAAAACAAAAATCCACAACAATTCTATTACAGTGTGAACACCAAGTTCCTTGTCTTGAGGAGGCAATTTATTTCATATAATCCCTTGACATTGCAGATCCTTTGGAGAGAGACAGACACTTAAGTGTTAATGAAAGGCACAGAAAAAGGCCAAGAGTCAAAAGAACTGAATGTAAGTCCAAACTTGCGTACTTCAGAACTGGGTGACTCCAGTCACTCAACTTCTGTGAGCCTCCTGACCTCACCTACAGAATGGAGGGGTGGGGGACCAAGGCTCAGGCACAAAAATAAAATGACACAGCATTCAATATCAGGACTGATCTGTAAATAATAATACGCAAAGTAGCCATTACACCGAACACGAACACTAATAAAATTGTTTTAGCAAGTTTTCTCATTTTAGTCTTCTATGTGGGATAGTTCCTTGTTCTCCCGCAGAATCACTGCAGGACAGTTTCAGCTATCTGCAACTGTGGAGGAATGAGTCCTTAGGAAAACTGAGTTACCTATATAGTCAAAGGGTGTGGAAAATACCTGATTATTTAGGGGTAAAACCCCTCTGAAACATTTCAAGTACTGAAGATACCTGCAGTGCCTTCACTACTTGAAAGAGAACTTGAACAAAAGGCTCAGGCCACGTGACTCTAGGAAGCTAACGAGAGTCAGAAGGAGCAAAGCGCACAGACCCAGGACATTGCGACCATGAACAGTGACTGTGAGAGAAGGCAGCTGCCCGACACCAAAGCAGACCCCTTTACATGGCGGTACGTTTCCGAACATTGAAAGTACCCAAGAACAGACTGTAGAACTACCTATTACAAAGTTAAGAGGGTTCCTACTTGGGTTGAAGAATATTTTCAAGGACTAAAAGAAAGTTCCTTGAATTTTACGATTCTGTAATTTTATGCTAATCCAATCTCAAAATAAGAACCAGGAACAAATCCTGCTCTCCTACAGAAAGAGTCTCAGGAGCAAGGCAAGCTGCCCAAGTCTTCTCCACCTCTCCCAACCCAAACTTCCATGCCCTCATCTGCAAAGGAGGGACTTGGGAGCAGAGTCAGATGCCACCTTTGACTCCATCTTCCAAAGCCAAAGAGTGAAATTAGGGAGTGGAATGATATAATTCCTAATAAGTAAGAAAAAAACTGAAGAGAAGAAAGATCAGCACCATTGTGATCTGTACCAATTGACAGACAGATTCTCTGTTTCCTCGTCTGTCTTTCCCATGAGATCTGGAACACCTCGCGTGGAGACAATGCCTTCCTCATCTCTACGTCTCCACCCCCAGCCCTCAGTCCAGCAAGTTAAGAGGTGTGTGAGGGATCACGGAGCCACCGAACTGCACTGATGACAGTAATAAATGCACAGAAATACCTAGAACCCACCAGTGAAAAGAACAGGCAGCACAGCTGAGATGCTACGCAAACACACGTCTGTCTGATCATACAGGAGTGAACTGACAACTGTCCTTGAGCGTTTAGAGTCTAAGGAAGATGGTCCATCAGATACAGTCCTAAGGCTGCTGCTCTCAGGCGGATCCCCACACAGGAATCTGCCCACTTCAGTAGGAGAGTCAGAGAAAGAGAGAGGGCAGGAGGAGCACTCTGAGTTTAAGGGCTTGCCTTCTGGAAAAACCCAAGTACTGAAGCGTATCCAGCTCAGGACAGTTCTGGGCCTCGGAGGGCGTAGGCCTGAGGCGAGAGGCAAGGGGGAAGTAAACAGTAGTGGAGGGAGACAGACGCAGAAATGAAATAATTATCCTTCACCTTGAAGAGTGCCACCACAGAGTTACGAAGGCCTACGAGAACGGAAAACAGTGACAAATACAGTGCCATCTGCCAGCATTTTCAAACATGTCGCCTTAGGAGATCCTCAAAAATGTCCTCTATTTACTGTCCCCATTTCATGGAAAAGGAAACTGAGGCTCAGAAAAAAAAAATTAAACTGCTTATAAACAGCAAGGGCAGGAGTTCAAGTCAGTTCTCTCCTGACACCAAAGCCAATCCCTCCCTGGCTCAGCCATGATGCCGAACGATGTCTCCTTGGCACCGGACGGCTACCCTGTTCCCCAGTCCAGCGTGTTTCTAAAATAACACCAAGGCCACAGTGTTTGGTCCACAAGTAAGCCATGAACTTCCTTCCCTTCATTCTGAGGCCACACACCATGACCTCCCACAGACTGGCCACTAATCACCCTCGAGACCAGCAGGGTGGGGGGGGCTTCTTGCACCTCTGGTGATGACTGTAGCCGTATATACATATGCACCTGTGAGGAAACACACGCCCCACGAAATTGGGGTGAGGCCACCAAGGCTTCTCCAATTCTGAGTTAATAAAAGCCTGAGCTCTCTGCCATCCCGAGAGGCACATGTGTGTGTGCTCTTCAGGCTCAGAGGCTGAGTTTTCCATTTCTTCTGTCCCCATGAGCACAGAGCCTGCTGGAGAGCTCTGTACACAGAGGGGTGGGTGCCTAATGACTACTTCACCCCCAAAGCCCAGGGCAGTCGGAGAACAAACAGGAACCGCTAAGCACCGCCAGCAGGGGCGCAGTGTTCCCGCACCGTGACTGTTCAAAGGCGGCTTTCTCACCGATGGCCAGGCATGGCCCTTCCTGGAAGGTTCCTGCTTCCCACTGTCAGCAGGTAAGAGGAGAACGGAGGCTGACAGGATCCCGAGGGTGTGGGGTGACCATCACTGTAGTGACTTGGTAGGGAGGATGACGGACCTGAGGTTCTGGGCAATTACAATCACAGGGTCTCTCCGCAAGACAGTCCCCCTCAGAATCCTTCCACCTGCTGTCCTTTTGACCTTGGGGCTCTGCCTTAGCCTCCTTGTCAAGCCCGGTCTAACAGTCCTTTCCTCCACAGGCATATACGCTTCCATGGCTAAAAATACCCTGAAGCATTACACAGACATTACACTGAAGCGATCCATTGTCTATCTGAAATTCAAACGTAACCCGGCATCCTGTATCTTCATCTGCTGAACCTGGCAGCTCTACTTCCGTGGTGAGCAGAAACGAGCAGGTAAACGGCTCCCCTCTCCGTGCCCTACCCCAGCCCTAAACACACGGGCCAGTTCTCTTCCGAGAAGAACCGCAGGCCAGGGCTCTGCTGACTTCGGGCCCGGGATTCCCTCCTGCGCTCCAGGGAAACCATTTGTCTCTGCCCACATAAATCCCAGGGGTGAACCTCCTTAGCATTCAAAAGGCAAGTTGTTCCCATCTGTGGGAAAAGGATGATTAACACTAACAAAGAGTGTGAGGTGTGTAACCCGCCCGAGTTATGAGTAGACCGAGAGGAGGCAGAAAGGCATCTAATTCAAGTTGGATTGCCAGCAGAGTTGAGTCAGGTTATCATTACCATGGAACGTCCACATAAGTGAGTTGCTGGGTCCAGGTAACCGTGTCCTACAGATGGCAGGTTCCTTCACGTCGCTCACTATTTCAGCTTCAGTGAGGTTTCAAAGTCTGTTACGTCCTTCCTTTAACACACGTCTTGGATTCACCTCTTACTCTCCAGCTTCCTTCTTGTCTGCCACCGCCCCACCCCGGCCCCCCGCCTTGCCTTCTCTCCCCTAAGTAATATGATCCAGGCTCCTGAAACCAGAGGACATCCTACCCACCTGTCCATGGAAATGGTCTACAATCAAGAGAGACCTGAACTAGGATTCTGAGAAAGTAGGTAAGTGCGTGGTCCCATTGGCTGGTTTCAAATACCAGCTCCATCTGTCACACAAGCCGTCTGGCCTTATGCAAGGGCCTCCTGAGCTATAGTTTTTTTTTAATTTGTAAAATGGAGACACTGCCTTCAGAAGAGGGTGGATGTAAGAAATGATTTTCAAATACTTTTTTTAAGGTTTTTTATTTATTTATAAACAAAGAGGAAGGGCTGGAGAAAGCGAGGGAGAGAAACATCAGTGTGTGGTTGCCTCTCGCACGCCCCCTACTGGGGGACCTGGCCCATAATCCAGGCATGTGCCCTGACTGGGAATCAAACTGCCAACCTTTGGTTCACAGGCTGCCGCTCAATCCACTAGCCACACCATCCAGGGCTCAAATACTTTTTGACCATCGCCTACAATAGGAAATGTATTTCACACCACAAGCCAGAGTTCTTATACGTATAT